GATGAAAGCCGTTTTGTTAAATACGAGCAGTTCAACATCAAACACCAGTATCTCCTGTCAGACAATCCGAAATCGCAGGTCTGTGCAAGATCTTTCTTGAATTAGTTTTTCGAAAATTCTAGTTTTTAGGTTCGCATTCGTTCTCGCGAACAGAATGGTCGTTCAACCTACACAGTAACTAAGAGAGATCTCGTGTCAGGCAAAGATTTCGTGGAAACAAGGTAAGAATTTTCTGTTTTGGTTCATCGCACGTGATGAAAAAAGTTATTTACAGAACACAAATCACATTCCGCGAATATATGCGCTATCAGGCTATGACAGATACAAGCCGTTTACCGCTTCATAAACAAAGACGATGTTTTATGGTTGGTAGCCAGGTGAGCTGATTAATAGTTTGTTTTTGTCTTGCTGAGAGACTCATCTGTTAATAGAGTTTACATGTTACTTTATTACCTGAATCTTCTCATTACAGTACTTCAATCTTGATATTTATACCGTACTACCACCGTCTGCTTGCCCATTGCAAATCGATGGTCATTTGATGTTTCTTGAAACTTACACCACCATTCCTAAGGGCGAACCGCTACCTCTTCCAGATTTCCTCACCATCGAGAAGGTAGGTTTCCAGACCTTACTAACAACTCAGTTGATAGTAATTGATTTTCTCTAGGAAATCACTGGACAATCTGCATACAGTATGTATTCAATGTCTAAAAAACCGAATGCGGTATGTGAAGTAGAAGAGTTTCTTGGAGCCGCTGAATTCAAAGACGATTGAATAATCCAAGGACAGTAGTAGAGTTATTATCGATTGTTAATTTATAGAATTGATAATCGCTGAGCTGCCATGATCGATATGGTTATTGAAGTGAAGTGAAAAAGCATATTAGTTGTGCAGGGTATAAGGTACGTAGAATAGGAACCGGTCGATCATTGCTCATTTTATCGGTGGCAATCCTGTGACAGAGAATCTAATCAGTATAGGGATATTTGTTATTGCAGCCATGATTATAAACTTCCAGTCATACATTTATTTTTATTTGCCTTTACCATCTTACTTTCGCATTTTGGTTATGTTTGAGAAAGCTTTACCATTTGTTACTTTTCTGTCAGTAGTTGCAAAAGTTGACATGTTAATTTACCACTCATCGTTTGTTTTACATATCTTTTACTTTTGGCAATTCCTTGTATCACTTTGCAGATTGGATAAATTTTATTTATC